TTTCCTAACGATCCCCATGAAACAATCCTGCCAGGCGTGTCTGGATACTGATGGGTGTCCCAGTCTGGCTGGAAGCTGCCCTGGCTGAAGTCGGGCCTAAACCTTACTTGGCATCGTCCCACTCCGGCTTCGGCAACCACATTAGCCAGCCATAGAATTGTGACCCTTTTTTTACTTCCTCTCCTTCCTGCTTTTTACTACTGGAGATGGCAGCAAATGGCTATAAAACGTGAAATCCCCAAAGCCTGGGGCATTTTCTTTTTTTCAGATGTCACCTACTACAAATTATCCTGCTTTTACTAAAGGTTCTCAGCCAAACTCCTCTCTCCTTCCTTTCTCTTTCTTTCTCTTTTCCTTCCTCCCTTTTTTTCCTTCTTCCCCTTCTATCCTTCCTTCTCTTTTTCTCCCTCCCTCTCTCTCAACTTCTTTTTTCTTTCTCTTTTTCTTCCTCCCTCCCTCCCTCTCTTTCCTCTCTATCACCTTATTTCTCTTTTCCTTCTTTCTTTCTTTCCTCCCTCCCTTTTTTCTCCCTTCTCTCCTTCCCCTTCTGTCCCTTCCTTCCTTCTCTCTTTCTCTTCCTCCTCTCTCTCACCTTCTTTTTTCTTTCTCTTTCCCCTACCTCCCTCCCCCCTCCCTTACATTTCTAAATTGGAAGCTACCCTGGTTAAGCTCGATTGCAGCCGTACCTTCCCTCTAGAAGTGCTTCACTCCGATCATCACGGCTATGATATGGCTGCTTCAATTTCCTCCCGAGGGAGAGGATTTTGCACGTCCTCCGGAGGGCGCTCTCGGTGAAAGAGGCGCTCACTCCAGGGCCGGGCCTCGTTTCTCTTTCAACCAGGGCCCTGGAGTAGAAGAAGTTGGAAAGGAGAGCCGGGGCAACACCTGGTTCAAACCGCAAGGCTTGGAAGTTTTGCCCTTGGGGGAAACCTGAACAAAACCAAACGGGCTGGAAATTTATCTCCCATCTGACTCTCGCACATAATTGCTCACCTCTCAGCTTGGCTGGGTTTTTATAACAGCCCAGATCTCACTGCCTGCTGTCTGCATACCAACGCAGCCAACCAAGGCCTCACCATCATCATCATCACCATCATTGTTGTTGTTGTTGTTGTTATTATTATTATTTAAGCCTCCTTTGTCTGTTAGTAAGCATACTCAGCCGCCCTCGGTGGAGTCGCTTCCTTGGGAAATCACGACTCAGCCTCCCTCCCCCCCCCCCAAACAAGAGAGCAGCGGCCCAAATGAGCAAGCGCAGAGCCCCTGGAATCTTCCACCTATTTATAGCCAAACCCTGCCGAGACTCTGCTCCAGTCTCGGCAACGAGGTGGAGGGGACAGCCAACCCCCGCGGCATGCTACACAGCTTGCGATTCCCTCAAAGCAGCCAAACAAGATGGAATCTTCCCTCCCTCCCTCCCTCCCTCCCTCCCTCTCTCTCTCTCTCTCTCTCTCTCTCTCTTCCCCGAGAAACTGTTGAACGCAGGTGTCTCTCCAGTCCCCGCAACGTCCTTGGATACTGCAGGTGAACTCTGCAGAACGCTTGTGTCCCCCCCCCCTCCCCTCCACCGTGGGCCATCCTTCAGCCTTCCTCACTATGGAGAAAAACGCCCTGCGAAGGTTTCCTTTCAAAGCCCACATATTGTGGGATCGGCTAACAAAGATCCGGTGTGTTCATCCGTAGGGCGTGTCTGCCTGTCTACCTGCCTCCCTTTCATCTCTATCATACATTTCCCTAGCAAGTTATGGAAAGGGCGAGATGCTAATTCCCCCCTTTTTCCTTGTAAGGCTCTAGATCCGTTTCTCGACCTCTCAGCCTGGGTGGATTTCAGCTCCCAGGATTCCCCAGCTGCCATGTAACCCCCCAGAATCCTGTGGATTCTGCTGCTGCTGCTGCTGCTGCCTCAGTTTCCCAAGGAGCCACCTACACAGACATCTCAAGGTTAAAAGGAGCAGAGGGTGAAACGCCCTTCAGCTGACAGTAGCCATCTCCTGCAAGGCAGGATGAAAATCAAACAAGCGAGCACAGGTTACCACAGTTCATTCCATGGCACTTCGAAGTTACAACTGCCCTGAAAAAAGGACCATTTTGCACACTTAACAACCGTTGCAGCACCCCAGTGGTCGTGTGACCAGAGGCTTGGCCACTGACTCCTGTTTATGACGGGCGCAATGTCCCAGGGTGTGTGTGTGTGTCATGTGATTCCCCTTAGGTGGCCTTCTGACAAGCCAAGCCAATGGGGAAGCTCCATTCTCTTAACGATTGTGCTCCTAACTTAACTATATGAGCCACGGTGGCAGTCCTGCAGGCTACTTCTGCTGACTGCCTGCAGTTTGGCAGTTCGAATCTCACCAGGCTCAAGGTTGACTCAACCCTTCCGTCCTTCCGAGGTGGGTAAAGTGAGGACCCAGATTGTTTGGGGGAGGGGGGGGCAAGAGGCTGACTCTGTAAACCGCTTAGAGAGGGCTGTAAAAGCCCTGTGAAGCGGTATATAAGTCCATTGCTATTAACAACTCGGTCGTAAACAGGTCGTAAAAACAGGGCAAACTTAACCGATGTCTCGCTTAGTGACAGAAACGTTGGGCTCAATTGTGTGGCCCTACGATGAGGACTGCCTGCACAGACATAAATAAATAAAGCAGGCTTGAAGTCAGGTGGGGAAAGAAACTTAAACCTTTTGTTAATCCTCTCTGCTCATATGACAGCTGTCCTCTATTTCGTGGCAGGTTTTAAGATAAGTTTGTTAATCCCCAGTTGCTCTTTTGGATTGACAAGGAGACGATTTATAGACATCATACACAATTCCCCCAAATAATCTTATTTCCTTAAGTGACATCCTGAATGCTTAAGAGATTTTAATAATAATAATAATAACAATAACCCAAGAAAATGGTGTATGCAGATCCCACCCTCCTCACGCACAACTCCAAGCCCTCACCCCCCCCCTTTCTACCTGCTCTATTTTTGACAGAGGTTCTCCAGTGAGTTCCTGGTGACTTTGTGGAAGGGCTGGGTTATAATTTCGAGAGAGGTTGCCATGCCAATGACGGCTAAAGCCGCCTTCCCCTTCAACCGCAACAAGAGGAAGTAAAATATAATACCTTCTGGGCCTGTGACCCCCCCACTCCCGCTCTGAAGTTTGGCAGGAGAAAATGAAAGCCACAGACCGAGCGAATACAGCTGGTGGCCGGTTAGAAGAAATTGTTATTATTTTAGAAAACCCCACCAAACCAGCTCTGTAGCCCCATCAGAGTCCTGTTTTGGCTCTTGAGAGGGTGGCTCGCTGGACCAGGCTGAGAATTTCAGCTTGAAACGTGTTCCTTTGGCCATGTAAGGGAGCCCCGGAGCACGCCGGGTGCCTATTTTGGGAAAACGCGCATGGGTTTGTCAGTCATTTCGGCTCCAGTGCCACAGACTGCGGCTGCCTCTTCAGCTGCTGGCTCCTTCTCCTTGAGCAAAGAGTGAAGCATCACAGCCCTTGTAGGTTTCTGATGAGAATTTGCACGGGGGAGCAGCTGCCACCAGGCCAAGCTCAGCTGGATGCCAGTCTCGCTTCCTTCTCTCTCTCTCTTTCTCTCTCACTCACTCACTCTTTCTCTCCCCTCATCCCATTGGGATCCCATGAACAATGTTCCTCCAGGCCTTCCTGTCCTCTCCCATCCTCTGGAGTCCATTGAAGNTATATATATATATATATATATATATATATATATATCCATGCATCTAGTTTCTGGGTTTTTAGTCAGTTTACTTGCTCCATTTTGCTTCCATCTTCCTACCAGCATGTCAGATTAAGCCTTGTGGCTCCTGGTAGAGCATTTATGGCACAATTCCAGTAAGTGTGTGCCTGTGTGTTTGTTTTATAGGCTTCCTTTCCTTCCCTAATTATGCCTCCTTGCCTACACTAAATTATGTCTCCAGTTAAATAGTCAGGTCTTTCTTTCTTTTTTATTTCCTTCTACTCTGGAAATCCCCCAGCATGCTCAAGGACCTACGAACGAAACATTAATTAGCAACATGGATAAATCAGGGAATTCCTTTCAATCAGGAGTTGGACGTATAGATGCGTTTTTAAATAGGAAGAGATCTTTGTAAAGAGGAGAAAACGTAAGAATTTGTGGGGGGGGGGGGGATGTTTCCCAGTATCTCTTTTTTTTTCAAATTCTTTATAGCCCCATCCAGCAACTAGTTTTGCAGGTTGAGGGGCTCAGGGCCCTACGATTGCCCTTCTCCTTGTTTTTCCTACAATGTAGTAAGGAATCACTAGATTTCCATTCTGTTATACTTTGGCCATAATTGGGATACTCCAGCTACTGCCGGTTTATCACAAGTATTGATTGAAATGTGTGTGTGTGTGTATTTATTTGTGGTGCATTTGTGCATTTGTTGTATTTGGGCATAACAGGTGCTTTGACATAACACTTTATATACATATATAAAGTGTGTATACACATACACACACACACACACACACACACACACACACACACACATTTATATTCTGAACGATTTTTTATTTCTTTCCTGCATTCTACCAGTAGGGTTTTTATTTCTGTCCTGAGACGACATGCTTAAAGCTTTTATCTTTTTAAAAAAAGAAAGAAAATAAGACTTCTGTCACAATGAGTCTTTTTTTCCCCCTGCTTTCAGTCTGCGGGAGATTCTTAGTCATCCAGGTCATGGTTGTCTCAAAGGTGGTTTTTCAAAAGGCAGCCGGACTATGTTTCTTCCCTTGAGGAAGAAAGACTCTGCCTTTCCAGATGTGTTTCCCCCCCCCCTCTCTTTATCTTGTCCACACTTTCCAGTCTTAAAATATTTGTGAGCAAGACTTGGGTTCACATTGTCAATAACGTGGTTTGCAAAATAATAACGATCTAATCCCGGCAGCGTGATGTTTGTATTTCCCAGTCTGCCGCATTATTTGGTTTTGATAACAAGTATACGGTTTTCTCCACAACGCGGGATGCTTTAAAGTGTTTTGTTTCTGTCTTGTTTTGTAGGACCCCTCGAAGCTGTACAAGAAAAGCGGAGAGGCCGGCCCAGCGACGGTGGAAAGCTTGCTTGCCGAGAGCAGAGCCAGAGCCAGCAGCCCGGCTTTGAAGAAGCTTTCCCCGCTGCATCCAGAAGGGCTGGAGTACGCGAAGTCGGCCTTCTCCACTCCCATCGGCAGCCGCGAACCCGACTTGAAAGAGCGAGCCCAGGCCAACGGGCCCCCGACGGTAACGGAGAAACTGGCGCAGCTGGTCTCGACCTGCCCTCCGGCAAAGTCTTCCAAACCAAAGCAGAAGAAGCCGCCCATGACAGTCCTCTCCGGATTTGCCAAGGAGTCTGGGAAGAAGCTGCCGACGCCTGGGGCCGCCGCGGGTACCGCGACCAAGGACTTCCTAAAGAAACCCATTTCAAGCGGCACCCTCGGCCTCGACTTGGTCAACAAGGAGCTTGCCAAGAAAGCGCCAGGAACCGGTGGGGGTTCCGGGGGTTTAATTAGTAAGGAAAATGGGAGCAAAAAACAGCCAGGGTCCTGTCCAAGCATGGCTGGGCTCACCAACAAGGACTATGAGAAAAGGCCATCCGTCCTTAGCTGCCCGGTCGGACTGGTCAGCAAGGAAGGCGGAAAGAAACCCCTGCTTGTGACAAGCATGGCGCCGTCTGGAATGGCCAGCAAAGACTGTGGGAAAAGGCTGTTGGGGACCAGTAGTCCCATCGGATTGGTCAACAGGGATCCCGGGAAAAAATCTCTCGGCATGGTCAGTCCGCCCGGATTGATTAATAGAGACTCGCTGAAGAAGCTTCCATTACCTGGAAGTACGGTTGGATTATTTAATAAGGACGTTGCGAAGAGACACCTGGGGTCCGACGGTCCAGTGGGATCGGTCAGCAAGGACTCGGCGAAGAAGCCGCCGAGTTTTGGGACCTCGAGCGGATTGATTAACAGAGACTCTGGAAAGAAGCCATCAGCAGCCGGCCCCCCAATTGGGTTGATGGCGAAAGAGTCCAGCAAGAAACACATGGGGGTGGGCATTATGGCCTCTCTGACTTCGAAGGACTCTGGGAAGAAATTGATGGGGAGCACCAATTTGGTGGGCTTAGCCGGCAAGGACTTGGGGGCGCTGAAGGCTGACACCGCTAACCTTCCGGCGGAGCCCTACAAGCGGTGTTGTGGCAGCGGCCCGGCCCCTCTGGAAAGCCACGTGCCCACCGGGCTTCTGAAGGACGGGGCTGGGGGCAGTAAACCATTCGAAAAGCACCTGGCGAGACAGAGCAAAGGCAGTCTCCCCGAAAAATTGACGCTCCAACGAGAAGTTTCCAGCGGAGGCAAAGATGGGGCTTGCGGTCAACAGGAAATCTCCCCCAGCGAAAGGGGCCCGTCCGAATCCTCCAAGCAAGAGAAGCATCTTCCGGTGTATTGCACTTCTCCTGAATTCAGGACCGCCGGAGGCGCTTCGGAAATCTCCACCGCCAAGTCTCCGTTTAGTGCCGTAGGGGAGGGAGGCCTCCCCTCCCCTTCCCCAACTGCCTCAGTTGCTACTCTAACCCATAGCCCCCCAACGGCTCTGTCTCAGATCCCTTCCAACCCGTTGCATTCAAGCCACATGCCGGATCTCTTAGACAGCCTGTCCGAACAGAGCAGCAAGACGCCGTCCGCCTCCGACGGCGCCCGCTCCGGTATGAACAGGCTGGGGAATCCCGGCTTGTACACGACAAGCAAAGGGGTTGTTCGGGAGACGAGCAATCCCAACTCGGTCTGCGCGGAGGAATCGAAACTGGGTCCTACCCCAGGGAAGAAAGCCAGCCTGGTCAGCGAAAGCAACCTCCACGCTTCTATCTCCCCTTCGGTGGTCAGCTTCTCCAGCTTCTTCAACAACAAGCCCTTTCTAAAGATGGGGGCGGTGAGCTCCTTAGGGAAACCGAGGCAAGGCCTGGAGATCCTGAGGGGGAGCAGTAGCACTGACTCCCTGGGCAAGCCCTTAAAGAAACGGAAAGGGAGGAAGCCTCGTTGGACGAAAGCCTGCCGGTCTCCCAAAGAGCTGGAGTTAGAGAGACCAGAGCTTTTAAAAAATGTCTCTTGCGGCCCGCTGTCCAGCAGTGGCCTGGACCAGGCCAAGCTCTTTGAAGGCACGGGCCCCCCGGACGCCTTCGCTGAGCACGACTTCCTGAAATACCATTTGCCCAAGCTGAGCAAAAGCAGCAGCCTTCAGTCGCTCTCCCTGCTGGGCAGCGCGGAGAAGGAACCGGGGAAGTTCTACAGCGCCCACGTGCCGACGTCCGCCGGCTGTCTGTCGGACGATTTGTTCCCCGACATGTACAAGTCCAAGCGCAACCGGTCGAAATCCAAGGAGATGCCCCATTTGGAAGGGCCGCCCAAACGGGCCTTGAAAATCCCCGCCTCCAAAGTCTTCTCGCTGCAGTCCAAGGAAGAGCAGGAGCCACCCGTCTTGCACCCAGAAGTGGAGATCCCTTCCCACCGCCAGACCCTCGCGGGGCAAGCTTTCCCGAAGAAGCGAGGCCGCCCCAAGCGGCAGATCCGCTCGGGGATCAAGATGAAGCCGCCCGTCCTCTCCGCCGCCCCTTTCGTCACGCCCGAAAAGGCAGACGAGTCGGAGGATGCCGGGGACCAGCCGCTGCTGCCGCCACCCAGCGGGGACTTTTTCGAAAGCCACAGCCAGCTCAGCAACACGGAGGACAATGGGGACTCGAGCACGGGCAGCGCCAGCGACCCAGAAGGCGAACCGGAGCACAAGGAAGTCAAGCGTAGCAACGGTCAGCTGGTGAAAACCATCATCCGGAAGATCAACAAGATGAAGACGCTCAAGAGGAAGAAGATCCTGAACCAAATCCTCTCCTCCTCGGCGGATCCCAATAAGGGGAAAGTCCAATCCAAAGCCCACACCAACGTCTCCAGCTTGGCAGCCACCTTCAGCACCAAACTGGGCCAGCAGATCAACGTCAGCAAGAAAGGAACCATCTACATAGGGAAGAGACGAGGCAGGAAGCCCAAAGCCAGCTTCAGCAGCCTTCTGGCGGCCGGTTCGAATTTCGCCATTCTAGAGACATCGGGCCAACAGGCCAGCGGAGGGATGCTGGGACAAGCAGGCGCCCCCTTGCTCCCATCTGGCCCCAGTAGCAGCCCCGAGGTTCTTCCGTCTCCCGTGTGCTCCCAGTCGTCGGGCACCAGCGGAGGGCAGAGCCCCATCAGCAGCGACATGAGCTTTGTGGAGCCCAACTCGGTGCCCTGTTTCCACCTGCACAGCCGGCAAGGGAGCGTGGTTCAGACCTTGGCGATGCGGAAGGCCTCACGGGCCCGGAGGCGGCTCTCCCCGCCGACCCTCTTCCCCAACTCCCCTTCCCACATGAGCGAGCTGGGGTCCCTGAAGGAGGCCACCCCGTCGCCCATCAGCGAGTCCCACAGCGACGAGACAGTGCCCAGCGACAGCGGCATCGGCACCGACAACAACAGCACGTCGGACCGGGCGGAGAAGTTCTGCGGGCCGAAGAAGCGCCGGCACTCCTTCGAGCACGTCTCTCTGGTGGCCCCCGAGGCCTCGGCCGTCCTGGGCGGCCTGAAGGACAAGCACAAGCACAAGTGCAAGCGCCGTGGCCACGACTACCTGGCCTACGACAAACTGAAGCGGCCCAAGCGCAAGCGCAAGAAGAAGTTCCCGCAGCTGCGGGGCAGGCAGGACCCCGATTTCCTGGCCGAGCTGGAGGAGCTGATCAGCCGGCTGAGCGAAATCCGCATCACGCACCGGAGCCACCATTTCATCCCCCGGGACCTGCTGCCCACCATCTTCCGCATCAACTTCAACAGCATCTACAGCCACCCCAGCTTCTCCCTGGACCCTTTGCACTACATCCGCAAGCCGGACTTGAAGAAAAAGCGGGGGCGCCCCCCCAAAATGCGGGAAGCCATGGCCGAGATGCCCTTCATGCACGGGCTCAGTTTCCCACTTTCCGGGACCGGATTCTACCCTTCCTACGGCATGCCTTATTCTCCGTCGCCCCTGGCGGCCCCCATTGGCTTGGGCTATTACGGACGCTACCCCCCTACCCTTTACCCTCCTCCCCCTTCCCCTTCATTCACCACCCCGCTCCCTCCCCCCTCTTACATGCACGCCGGCCACTTGCTCCTCAACCCCGCCAAGTACCACAAGAAGAAACACAAGCTCTTGCGCCAGGAGGCGTTCCTGACCGCCAGCCGGGCCCCGCTTCTCTCCATGAGCACCTACCACCCCAGCGTCCCGCCCGAGATGGCCTACAGCTGGATGCTGGAGCACAAACACCGTCACCGCCACAAGCACCGGGAGCACCGCTCCTCGGAGCAGCCGCCGGTGTCCCTCGAGGCCTTGGCTCCCGCCAGCTCTTCACGGACAGTCTTGGAGTCCCTGAAGCGCTACCGTTTCGGCAAGGAGGCCGCGGGCGAGCGGTACAAGCATAAGGAGAAGCACCGCTGCCACATGGCTTGCCCGCACCTCTCGCCCGCCAAGGGGCTGCTGGGGCGAGAGGAGCAGTGGGCCCGGCGGGAGACCGCCGAGAGCGGCCCCCGGACTCTGGGATTACAGACCCCTTTGCAGATAGACTGCTCCGATTCTCCTCCCAACCTCCCGCTGGGGAGGTTCACTCCGAGTTCCGAGCCGGCCAGTAGTGACGAACACACCAATCTTTTTACCAGTGCAATAGGCAGCTGCCGCTCCACGGGCTCGGCTGGTGGCCGTAAGAAACTGTCCGAGGGCTCTGGACTTTTCAGCCCCCAAGAAGGATCGCTCGGCCGGCCCCCCCGCAAGGAGACCTTGCCTCCGATTGAGAAGGTCGTGCAAGGCCTCTCAGGTAAGCGGCCTCTTTGCCCGGCTCTAAAGTTGAATTGGAACCCACTTTCCCGATGGATTCCTGGGAGTTAAGTGGCTTTTCTCGGTTGGGGTTGAACTGCGGGTCCTTGGTGCTCTCTGAGCTTGGAGACGTTTCATGACCAAACTAGGTATTATCATCAGTGTTAGAAGAGAGTGGGATGTGTTTGGGGTGGGAAGGAAGAAGAGGAGGAGGAGGAGGAGGA